TTTCCTTGTTCTTCAATCCTATTTACAGGAACAAAGTATAGGTTTTACCTATTTTACTTACTGTTTCCAAAAGCACCCTATTCACCTTAAATGGGAATCTATCACCAATAAGAATAAAAATAGATTCTTATTCATCATTTCCCCTCAGCAACAAACTGCTGATTCTCTACTATACACCTCAGCTAATGTCAAACAGTCATATGTGGTTTTAATACAGTTAAAACTCTTAATATGTAACAACATACGTACTAATAATTTAGAAGTCTTTAGCCAGTGATGATAGTAGTATATACATTAGTAATTAACTTAACATGTTATTTCCTACTTTAGCTAAACATTTAATTCTCTAATACATTGGTTCCAACCAAAAATTCAGGAAGGAATGACCTAGTTTGAGACATAGCATTCTTTTTAACAATGATCATACAGATCAATATTGGTATGTTTGCCAGAACACAGAATTCCATTTGGTAGGATTCAGATTTGGTTTACAATACTAATTTGCCTACTTAATGACAACACCTATTCTCAAACCAGGTATATAAATATATCTTTATCACTAAATAGGCTTTTCAGAAAACATATGAAAACTTATTATGTACAAGGATAAGCTTGAGGAATGAAATAAAAATAAATGCTTGAACAATTCTAGACTTAATTTGATTATAATCTCCTTGGCTAAGGGTTTTTTTTAATATTTTGAATAACTATTTATGAATGACTAAAATACTCCCTATAAGCAACAAATATTTTTGATGCTCTATTTTATAGTCTTTTATCTCTCTTATCCAGTCTTATATTTGTTCTAATATCTTTTGCTGATTACAGATCTAAAGCTTAGTGCAAAAAAATGTATACTACTGGAGCAAAAAAATGACTTCAAAATGCTCTTTCTTAAAAATTTGTATCTTTTTATCATCCATACTACTGTTAGTGAAAATTTAAGTAATGGATTATCATCTTTAGCTAAGTGCTAAATACGCTAGTACTGAACATTAGCAATAGCTAATACAATATTAAATACCCAATGGAGTATCACCTATCTCATTCTACATTATATAAATGCACATATTCATTATTTTCCTGATGTTTCTGTGGAGCTCTTACAGTGGTAGAATTACAGTGCTCTCCTGATAAACAGTTCTCATTAGAAAAAGTAGATGAAAAGTGACACATTAAAATACGATTCTGCTATGTAATTGTTAAGACTGGCAATAAGTATAATTACTACTAATGTTATTGGGGAGGGCAGGAATCTTACATTTGCCCTACATCTTGTTTCTAGCTTCAGAGCAGCAAATATCTCTTTATTTGCCTCATGCATCATCACATTACCTTTAGTCTCTGTTATAAATAGCAAGAGAAGTAGAAAACATTAAAAGCACTTATACTAAAAGCTAGATCTCATGTCACCAAAGATCATATAACACTCATTTCTAGCAATCAACATAAGACAGTTATTAATAAAGGTATTGTTCTTACAGATGGCAATAATTGTCAACCTAAAATGTTTCCATGATAACCAATTTTTATATATATAAACATTCCCACTTTCCTGATGAAAAATAATTTGTATAACTAAAATAGCCATGTCACACTAATTATTATAATCTAATTTCCTGGTCCAAAATAATTCAAGAATCATCAAGCAAAAAAGAAATATCATTGCTAAATACTGTCCTGCCACTGTTTCAAAATTCTAATATTACTGGAGGAGAAGTTTCAATAGACTACATACATTTATTTGTAAAATTCATAGCTGAGATGAAGACTAAAAAAAATCTAAAGGATCAACAGTTTCAAAATATAAATATTATCTTTCAACAGATAATTTTTAAAAATGTCACAAAGAAAGTCAATTGAAGGCTTGGAGAAATGGCAATACAATTTCACCAAAATACAAACACATTGTAAAATGTGTGCAAGCTGGGGCACCTGGGTGGCTCAGTCATTAAGCAGTTGCCTTCAGCTCAGGTCCTGATTCCAGGGAACACAGCCCAGCGTCTGGCTCCCTGCTCAGTAGGAAGCCTGCTTCTCCCTCTCCCACTCCCCCTGTTTGTATTCCCTCTCCCGCTCTCTCTCTGTCAAATAAATAAATAAAATCTTTTTTTTTTAAAGTGTGCATGGGTAGACAATACTTTCAACCACCTTTGTAAAATAGATAAAATACTTAGAATCACTTTTATGACCTTTAAGAAAGCCACAAACTGCAACTCATAAAATCAGTTTTAAGTGTGGCCCCTTAATTCAATTTTCTTAAGTATGAAATCATAGTACTTCAGTTCAATAAAAAAAAAACTTTACACAGTAAAACTAAAAAACCTAAAGTTCTAAAAGACACAAAATACTCAATATAACCTCATTGTTGTATTTTTTTTCTTGCACAAAATCACATGGAATGTCAAGACCGTAAGTTGTCTATAATAAAATCCTCGCATTGCAGACTGAGGGCTGGTGCTCCTTCCTTTGATTCTTCTGTTTCCAGGCTCCACCACAGAAAAGACAATAACTTTTCAAGTAAAAACATCAGTTATTTCTGACTTCAAATATCCATTTTATCAGCACATCCAATTGTCCTCTATTACCACTTCTCCCAAGTCCGTCAACTTCCTTTTTGATCCTTCAGTTACATCCTTATTCTTGACCCGAGACCTTTCCCCCTAAACTACTGTACCTCATTTTCATGAGACAGCTTCTCCAGATTACCTTTAATTCACTGCCAAAGTTATCTTCTCTCCTTGACATTTTGCCTATGCCACCCACCTATTCCACCTAAGCTTTTCAAGGTCTTTGAGTTACATTTTTATTCTGCTCAAGAGCCTCATCCTCACAAACATATTCATTTATAAGGTTGCCACTGACTTTCAACTCCCCTTTAAAATGCCAGTTTCATCTTATCTTTGGTAAATTAACCAAATTCTCCCTTCAGGTAGTTAGTTATATTTGCTCCTAATGCACTCTGAAATGGAATTCCTTTTACATTTTGCCCCTCAAACACACATGTAATTTATTTCAACAACTGTAGCACAGTAACTACATACATTGTTTCTTTAGTTGTTTGCATATCAATGTTAGCCCTATTGGACTGCAGGGATATAGATAAGGGCTGTATCTTTCAAAGTATTCTATATATGCATCTACTCTGTTACTTGACCCAGGCAAGATGATTCACTATATAAAACTCTTAGGGAAAGCTTAAATGAGCAAAAGAAAATATGATTCTTCTTTAATCTCTGTGGTTTAACTTTAAAACAGCTTTGACCTTTCATTTCCATGGACAGCTGAAATACTTTGATTTCTATAAAGCTTCACTATTACTACTCTATTAATTTTCAAAACCAGCTGGAATTTAAAATGCAAGTTGAAGGCTGATATAGGCTATACATTTTTACATCCCACGGTTAGATTCTTTGAAAATCAGCAATGTCAATTCTAAGAATTCTAATACAACTGAATCTTCACACAAGGCAACAGTTTCAGCACCAAAAGAAGAGAACAGCGTATCATTTGATGTTGGGGGAGGAGGGATTTCCCTTTCCCTGCAACTGGTTTAGACTAGTTTCTCTAGGGGCTTCTGATTAGGAAAATTCAAAATTAACAACTGGAAAGCATACCAGGGCAAAGCAACCCTTTAACTTAAAAGAGAAGAAGGAGTGCCATGGGTACACCTTTTCATAAAACTCAGCAGCCAAAATTAAGCTTAGCACTCAGTATCTACAGAGATTTTTTTTCTACCTAATAAAAGCAAGTCTCATTCAATTTAGACCCTTCCCGAGCACCGTCTCAACCTGTCAGAATTTGACAAGAGAAAAAAAAAAAATTAAGAAGTGACGGGCGGGGGACGGGGGAGACACAAGGATTCCCGTCTACATCTCTTCTTTTTCCGAAATCACATCAGTGTGTCTTGAATTTCCTTCACTCCAAACTAAGCCCTTAGATTCCAAATATAGTTCCTTAACCCCCACCTCGCCACTGAATTACACACAAACCTTGCCAATTACAGAACCACAGCAGAAACCCCTACAAATTGGCTTGCTGTTCATCTCGGAAGTCATGCCCTGCAGCAACTGCCTATCGCCGAACTGAGGGATATTACCCAAATACAACGCAACGGAATCAGACATGCTGAGCACACACAGCTCCTGTGAGGGAGGGAAACGAGACCCAGGAAAAGTGCGCTCCTCACAAGCCTTGGGACCGTCCGGGTGGTGGGGGGGGCGGGGGGTTCCAGAAGGGAGGAGAACAGAGTAGCCCAAGTCGGGGAATCCTACCCTCTCAAGTAAAAAGCCCCAGCCGCAGGGTGCAGCCCGTCCCTCTAAGAAAGGGAAGAGGCGGGCAGAGGGCCCTTAGCTCCGAGAGGCGCAACACAGACACTTTCCGAGGTCTGGGTGCAAGCGATCCCCCAACCTCTCGAAAGAGACAAGGGGTGTCCCACGGGTGACTGAGGGGATGCCCCGCTGGCCAGGGGCAGCCTAAGGCAGAGCGGAGTTTCGCCTGATATTCACCCGTGTCGTGTCCGGCGTGTGCCCAGGGGAAGCAAAGCTAGAGCGGCTCGGGGCCGCTGGGATAGGGGGAGGGGAAGGAGGGAGTGGAAATGGGAATCCCCCCTCTCTGAGACTAGCATTAGCGGAGGAAGCGCGCCGGCCAGTCAGAGCGGCGTGCTTCCTTCTGCGGAGCCGGGATCCCGCCGCCTGCACCGGCAGCAAGAAGCCCCGCAGCGCCCGCCGCACCGGCCCCTCAGTCCCCCGGGGCCAGGGACTTCGGCTGCGAAGGCACTGGGGCCTGACATCCCACGGGCCGGCTCCAGCTCCCGGGGTGGGGGGGGGGCCGCAGGAACACCCCAACCTCTGTCAGCTCTCCGCGGTTGTAAAACGCCCCCCCGTCCCCCTCCTCAGCCTTCCCTCCTCCCGAGGCCGCAGAGAAGAGTCACCACAGGCGACATGACTGAGACTAGTCGGGGACAGCGGCCGCGGCCGTCCCGCACCTCCCTCCCGGGTTACCTGTGAGCACTCCGACACGGATTTGATGGTCGTGGTTAGTGAGGATCATTCCTTCGGTCGCCATGTTTCCCAGCGCAGTCACCGCACTGACAGGAGCCGGGAGAAGCCGGAGCCCGGAGCGCGCGGGCCGGGAGCGCGCTCGCCTCGGAGAGCGCGAGAGCGAGAGCGCCCGGGGAGCTCGAAAGGAGCGGAGAAGGAGGGGGAGGTGGCCAGGCTCTCCGCGGCCTGCGCGGGGTAGAGGCCGGGGCGGGAGTGCGCGAGTCCGCTGAGTGGGGGGGCGGAGTCAGGGCGCGCGACCCCGAGTCCAGATCGAAGGCGGCTAGCTGCGGGCGGGGGCAGCGGTGGCCGCAGAGGGAGAGTGCGCGTAGGCGTCCGAGGGAGGCCGTTGAGACCCAGACCCGCTGGATAGCAGGAGAGTGAAGGGAAAGGAGTGCACACGCTCGGACGGTTGCGGGGGCGGACTCGGGGACAGGGGCGGAGCCACACCGCGAGGCGTGGAACTCGTGGAGAGTGAGGGGAGGTGTGAGAGCCCGGCTGCGGAGTACTGGGAGCGGGAAGGAGACAGCCCAGCCCGAAAAGGACAGGGGAACGCTCTTGGGCGCGCGAGTAGCGCCGGATTGGCTGGAGAACGCGGAACGGGTGCGCGCGAGACACGAACGCAGCCTCGACCGAGCCCCAGACAGAAGCAATCCCCTGCCGAGCCAGCGCCTCGTCGTTAGCGCCGCTGGGCAGCTCTCGGAGCGGCGGAGCGGCTCTCCCAAGGGGACGAGAGGAGGACTCCGCTAGCTGGGCCTCTCCTCCAAGCCCTGGGGCGCGGCCAGCCCGACCCTCTGAAAACACCAGGGCACCTGGAAGTGGCTTAGAAAGCTCCATGGTGGCACAACAGTGGCCGCTGAGCCCGCCGTGGATGAAGGAGGAGTTATCCTGTCCCGCCTCACCTTCCCGCTTGCTTCCTTCGTCTGCTTGCCCTGCCGGAGGATATCCGCTTCTCATGTGCTTTAGGATTCCATCTCCAAGTCGAAACCCACTAGACGATCTTCACAAGCCTCTTGAATGGGGATACCTGGCTTTTCTCCCTCCCGCTGTCCCCTGGTTTCGTGGCCTTACGCTTCATCACCACGGTCTCTGCTTTTAGATGAAAAGCACCAATCTTAGAGAAGAACGTGTTCCTTTCCCCTGAACCACGATCGCAAAATTGGAAGTAGAATCCAGGCCGTGACAAATGACAGATTTGAGTATTTGTGGGATGTGAAATTACCATGAAAATAACTTATGTTGCCACTTATTTTCACGTATCTTTCAAAAATGTGTTCTTAATCACCTGTGGCTATTTCACATCGGTTCCTTAGTTCCTATCTTCCTAGCCCTTTCAGTTTCTGAATTAAAAAATAATGCACGTATTTTTTTTCACATATGTTCTCAGTCATGGTAAAAATCTGGGAAGCGTGAGAATGAAAAGCGAAGTGTCAAAAATTTATACTCATCGTTTGTACACAATTAAAATCTCAGCTAATTTGGTGGTTATGTTTTTTGTTGTGCCATTGGAACATGGACTTGTCCTCTAACTTAAAATTCATATTGTTCCGTATTTTAAATAATGGGAATACAAAGGAGATGATGGGTGAAATTAAGGTGGGATTTAAAAAGTAGTAAAATTTCTTTTGAGTATGTGTATTGCCAGTATTTTTGACAGTAGATTAAAAATTGAAGCCAGATCATAAAGCCACTTCCTTTAATAATCTATCACCACAGAGCCTGGTGACCAACAGATTCTTAACTAGTTTCATATGAGAGAGATAATGAAATGTGAAAGTATGTCCAAGAAAATGGTTTATCTCAAACTAAAGATGAAGAACTAAAGATGTTGGTGACATTGCTACCTTTCCAATCTATCTTATTACCTACAGCACCCTCAAATTTGAAATGATTTTAAAGTGTCTTGAATTTTTAGAGAGAAATTCTAAACCTGGCTACTAATAGGTTCTATAACCTTAAACTAAGTTGGGGTTTTTTAAGGTTTCGGACTATATAAGCACCCTTTAAGTAAAGTGGTTGTCTCAATAAACACCATCTCAGAATATTCTATAATTATTCATGGAAAGAAACTGATATTTTTGTTTCACAATAAATAACGGAAAACAGGGGACTTTAGACAAACCAGGGTTGCTGGGGGGGAAGTCGCTGGGAGGATGGGGTAACTGGGTGATGGGGCTTTAAGGAGGTCACTTGAGGTAATGAGCACGGGGTGTTAACCTCTGAACCTAATAATACACTATAGTTAATTAAATTGAGCTTAAATTTTTTAAAAGATAAAAAAAAACTAAAACAAGGGGATTTCTTTTCTTTTCTTTCTTTTAGATTTTATTTATTTGACAGACGAGATCACAAGTAGGCAGAGAGGCAGGCAGAGAGAGAGAGGGAAGCAGGCTCCCCGCTGAGCAGAGAGCCAGATGCAACGCGGTGGGATGGGGGGGGCTCAATCCCAGGACCCTGGGATCATGACCTGAGCTGAAGGCAGAGGCTTTAACCCACTGAGCCACCCAGGAGCCCCAAGGAAATTTCTATATAAAAGTAATAATGGTGAAATTTAATTGGGAAAGGTGAGAATTAACCTTTGGAGTTTTGTTTGCTAAAACTACTAAAATCGCTGAAAAAAGTAATATTAATAGAACTAAGCTGAACAACTACTAATATGTGCTTGTTTTTCAACAATTTTGCTCAAGTATATTCATCTCTGCTGAATTTAGCAATTTGTAAAAAAATTTGCACCTTACTGTCTAATGTGACTTTTCTTTTACTGCTGGTTATTGAATATTGCAGTATACACATATTCTTTTACTCCTGTTTTATAGTATGACATTTCTTCAAAATTGATCCTGGAATCAAGCATTAAAACAGAAAAATTTTCAAACCAATGTAAAAAGAGGGTAGCATTCCTGAATATTAACAAATGTCTCAGGACTATACTGAGGGAAAGGGGAAAACAAGAAATGAAAAAGAGTTTGTGCATAAAGAATTAGCAGTGCCCAAGGATTCACTTTCTCTAAAGGTTTTAATGAAAACTACGGAAGTTTACATTAACTAAAAATTAACACAAAAGATAGGTAAACATCTGCCTTTCATAGTGACTTTCATTATGAAGCTGAAAGTTTATCAGTAGAAATTAATTATGGTAAAGGCTGAATTTTTTCTTAGCCCTCCTAGTACTTTAGTGTTCCTGTGGCTAATCACAATTTCAGTATCAAGGAAAAATCTTACCGGCTTTTCTGGGGTCAGACTCTCCTCATTGACATTAGACGTGAACAAGAACGAATTTGGCAAAAAAAAAATTATTCTTCCTCTAAAGCTTATTCCATTCTTGCCTCTTTCCTGATAAGCTAACAGCCACATTTAAAACTGACTCAATTAAAAATGGGTGCAACACTTTGAATATATTTAATGCTACTGAATGGTTAAAATTGTAAATTTTGTTCTGTGTATTCAGCACAACAAAAATGAGTGCAAGGTGAAATTCTGGTTGATTTTAAACTATTATTTTCCTCAAAGGAAGCTTGATTATAGTCAAGATGAACTTTAGATTGGCTGAGTTAGACAATGTATTAGTCCCTAGGGCTGCCGTAACTATCACAAACTGGGTACCTTAAAACCACAGAAATTTATTCTCTCAAAGTTCTGGAGCCCAGAAATCTAAAAAGAAGCTGTCAGCAAAGCCATGCTCTCTCTGAAGGATCTAGGGAAGAATTCTTCTCTGCCTCTTTCTAGCTTCTAGTAGTTGCCAGCAATCCTTAGCATTATGTGGGTTGTAGCTACATGGCTTCAATCTTTGCCTCCCTCATCACATGGCCTTCTTGTCTGTGTGTGTTTTCACTTGGACTTCTTGTAAGAATATCAGTCATTCCATTTAGGTCCCACTATAATCCAGTATGATCCCTGTTTAACAAATTATATCTACAAAGACCCTATTTCCAAATAGGTTACATTCTGAGATTCTCGGTGGGTGTGAAATTTGGGGTTGGGGGACATTATTCAAGCCAGTACAGGCAACAACAAAGGTTCAAAGAACGACAAAGTTTCTTTAAAAGCTGGGATTTAGAAATTAGACACATGCTTAGAGGAAAACACACTCTACAGTAGAGAATACTGGGGAAATTTTTAACATTTGAACTAAATGGTCTAATGCTTTTCCCCACAAGAGCAGTTTTCTAAATTAGAATTTTTCAAAGTCTAGTAAGATCAATTTATACATTCTTACTAATGAAACTGACATTTTCCTGTTAGTTTTGACGCCTTTGTTGTCTTTTAGTGAAGCTGAGCCTCCATAGTCGTCCACAGAATTTGGTGGCACTTATTTGAGAATAATTAGGACAATGTTTTCCAATGTCTGCCATGTTTATAAAAATAAATTTGAACTTTTCTTGGGCTTTTGATATTATATTTCTGCTGCCCAAATTTCTGCTTGAATAATTCTGTGCCCTGGTCCTTTTTATTTTTCTCACCCTTACTCTCTTTCCCTGAGGTCCCCAGCTGGAAAACCAGATGTATGAGAACATTTTGGTTACAAGTGACTAATCCTAGCTTAAGCCAAAAAGATACACAGCTATGAATTCCAGACAGGTATATAGCTTCAGGGTTGGCTAAATTCAGGATCGAAAACCATGTCATCAAAATCTTTCAGCTATACTTTCTACTTTGTTGACATAATTTTCATATTGATTCTCCCTACCTGGTTGCAAATTTGGTAGCATCTTCTCTAAGCAATAGTTTAGATCAGTAGTTTTCAAGTTTGTCTGGGGATACCTGGAGATCTCAAGATCCTTTCTTGAGGGTCTTCAAGGTCAGAAATATTTTCATACTAATACTAAGGCATTGTCTTTCCACTCTCATTTTCTCATTAGATATGGTGGAATTTTTCCAGAGGCTAAATTATATACAATGATAACATCATTCTCACAGCTAATAAAATGTGTGTTTATATATTTTTATATTTAAAAAAAGTTTAGGGGTGCCTGGGTGGCTCCATTGGTTAAGCATCCAACTCTTAATTCAGCCCTGTCATGATATAAGGGTTGTGAGATCAAGCACCATGTCAGGCTTTGCATTGAGCATGGAGCCTGCCTAAGATTCTTTTTCTCCCTCTCCCTTTCCCCCAACCCACCACTCTCTTTCTCTCTTGCTTAAAAAAAAAAGTTTTTAATACACTAAATATTGATAGATAAAACCTACTTAAAAGTTCTTTGGAGTCCTCAATAATTTTTAAGGATGTAAAGGGTTCCTAAGACCAAAATGTTGAGAACCATAGAACTAGGTCATGTCCCCACTTACTTACTAAGGCAAGTTAACCTGATTGGTTAGGCCTCAGTCATGCACTCGTCCAGAGCATGAGTATCATCTGAGCCTTACCAAATGGCTAAGACCAAGGGAGGATGGATCTAGGTAGTGCCTTGATAGATCAGCATTTAGTACTTCAACTCTTCTTAAATCTTTTTTTTTTTTTTAAGATTTTATTTATTTATTTGACAGAGAGAGATCACAAGTAGGCAGAGAGGCAGGCAGAGAGAGAGGAGGAAGCAAGCTCCCTGCCGAGCAAAGAGCCTGATACGGGCCTCA